AGGAGATTCCTCCCCTGTGAATCTTTTATTCATATTGGTGGGGTGGCTTCCCTTCCCAGTCAATTGAAATTTAGATGTCAACAACAATTCATTGACATCATGTTTAATTATGTGTGATTAAAAATGGAAAACTGACATGAGCAGTTTTCTTTCTTATAAAATCCGGCATTTGTGCTTGTAAAGACCAAAGTGTGTGCAAGAGGGGTAAAAAGAGGCAGGGTTTTTCCACTTAACGCAAGGTTAGAGCGGTTTCAAATCCCAATGTCTGCTGTGTTAAGATGTTAAGTTAGCTCATTAACTAAAATCAAAAATCTGCTCCCGATGCGCAGTGATCATCTGCATGGTAAATGTGTGGTGTGAAAAGGTGAATGAGGCATGTTTTTAGTGTAAAGCGCTTTGGAGTGGTCGGGAAGACTAGAAAGGCATATACAGTTCAGGTCATTTCCATTTATAATAACAGAGCCTGTCCGTTCACTGCACTGTCCAAGCCCTTACGTACTTGTTGATGGGAAACAGAAAGGGCCAGTAAGCAGTACATTTATAAGTTAGTGCTCAGGGATCGGATTCAATTCAATCCACCAAATCAATATCAATCACTGTGTTGAGGTCAGCGGATCTTATAGCAGGGTCATGAAGCCCTTCTGACTGAATGGAGCCAGCCAGGCACCTTTTCAAGATAAAGTTTAGAAGGCAATTCCACGCACTGTAAACACAATACAAGGAGAACAGAATGAACATTCTAAACATAACACCAGCTGTAGCATTCTCGTGCACATTTTCAGTTTGTGGTTTCCATGTTGTGTTATTGTAAAAGAGATGAGGAATTAAATACTCGAACTCGTCAAAAAGCCCAAGTGTGATGTCCAACATACAATTCTATTGCCACAATGATGATTTTGTATTGAGATTCACGTTGTGGTCACGATTAGCAAGACCACTGCAAGTCAGCTCACTTGGTCTGCTTTAATGTCCCATTTACTGCCTGACATACTTCAAACTGATTGCAAAAATTCAGAAAACAGACGTTTTGTTTTTGTAGATCATTTTGTTGGAATGATAGCAAACCAGTGTAAGCTAACAGATAAAAACATTTGCCGTCCTTTGACTAGCTTACATCATAGTAAACAAGTCCAATTATGTGTTCTTTTTCAGTGAAAGCTGTGCAGGTAGGGGAATGCTTCAGGGTCCGTTAGCAGTAAATTAATACAGTATTTTTTCGGAATAAAAAGGTCTCCAGGTGCGCGGTGTTGGCGTGGCAGGTGACATAAACAGTAACCCAAACAGTGAAAACCATAAATCTGGAATCAACTGTGGCTGGCCTAGGCTGTTAGTTTAGGGAGCGCTTGGTGTAAAACAATAGTATACATGCATGTAAACCATTAATGGTAAAATGGTAAAGGACCTGTTACTCTGTAGCGCCATTTTCAGTCTTCGACACTCAACGCGTTTTTACACATAGTAGCACATTCACCCTTTCACCACACACCACACACAAACATTCACTCAGTGATGTAAAGTCATCGAACAAGAAACTAAACACATTCATGACACACTTCATACACCGGATGCTAATGCAATCGGGAGAATTTGGGGTTCAGTATTTGCTCAAAGGATACTTAAGACACGGGCACGTGGAGCCGGGGATTGAACCAACAACCTTCGGATTGGGGGACGACCCGCTCTGCCTCTGAGCCACAACCGCCCAGCCAATGGGGAATATTGTGGTCAGCAACAATAGTCGAGGTCATGTCATACGGGTTAGAGTTAGGTTTAGGGTAAGTCAATATTTTGAAAGGCAATAACTCCATGTTGTATATTGCACAATAAGTCTACAGCATAATTACTGTGACAGGCCCAGTCAATACTGACACCTCATCAGGCTGCATTAGATTCCCCGGTGGTGCCCACGGAACCTTTCCACTGACCTCTGGTGGGATGCTGTCATCTGAGTCTGAGCTGTCATCCGAGCCCTGTCCGTCAATGCTCATCTGGAGCAGCTGGTCGATGGTAGCGTCCACAGCTCCGTTGTTGGAGCGCAGCACACACTCGATCACCTCATAGTCCATAGAGGGGAACATAGTCTTGAAGTCCTCCATGGCCTGGTTGAACTCCAGGCGTCTGACCTGCCGGTTGGGCCTGCTGTTGTTGAGCTGCCCACTGCCGCCGCTGCCACTTCCACTGCTTCTGGAGCCTCCATTGCTGCTGCTGCGCCTAAACAGACTAGTCATCCTCAGGGCCTGGCTGCCTCAGGTGCGGCCAACCTATTGATAGGATGGCTCTTCTTTTCTGCCACCGACAAGCACTTCGGCCCCTTCAGTGTTACTTGTTTTCCACTTTTCCCCCCACTCAGTTTCTCATTCTAACACAAACATAGTAGTCCACTGATGGGAGATTAGAAAAACTAGAGTTTCCCTTCCCAATGCTACTTGTTATTCAGCTGCTTCCAGCATGGTGGACTGTATTACAGAGTGTGCAGACACTGGAGCAGCTGGTGACAGATGTTAAACGTCCAAAGTCCGGTCACCAGGTAGAGCTTAGAGACAAAATCCGCCAGGGAACATGCATAGCTACATCACAGTCATCAGCCCCTACAGCGAGAGAAGAAAGGCCGTGTGTTAGTAAGAGCTAGTAACGCTAACATTTCATAGTTCTCCAATTAAATTACATCATTGCTTCTCAACTGGGACCCAGAGCTCTGCTAAATTTCATCCTACAGTGGCTCTATCAGTGTGGAGGGACTTTAGATGCAGTACCACTACTGGCTACTAGATTAGGGATCCAAAGAAATCTCCAGCAGCACAGATATCCATTTAAAAAGTCAAGAAGTGAAAAACAGGTATTCTAGAGAAAGTTGTTGGACAAATGAAGATGTCCAAACACAAACTCAGTTAGGTATAGGTCAGGAAAGTAGGGTTAAGGGCTCAGTATGCAAACACTTGTCGGCTTGTCGCACAGCATCTGAAATCCCTTCCCTTCACACCTTTCCAGTGTGGGAATTGAGGGGGGCTGTGCAGGGGCGTGTCAAGACTGTCATACACACATGCCCACACACAGTTTAAAATGCTCTTACCACAATAAAATGGCTAGTATGGGGACAAGCTTTCCATTCATACCAATGCCATCATACAATGTATGCAATTCCAATAAGTTTATGAACTCATGTTTCAGGAAGCCCTGGGAGTGGGTCATAAATATGGTATTCAAGAAATATACAGCTCTGGAGATAGTTGTAGCTTTCTCTTAATCTATTTGAGATTCCTGCCTCTCTCATCCTCACCTCCCCTTCCTTCTTGCTTCACTGGGGGTTCATTGTAGCTGGCGGCTGCCCAGTGCCACATGGCAGTACCAGGCCCCATCTACAGCCGATAAACAGAGCCCCTCTCTTAGCCTCCCATTTACTAAGAGTCTTGCTTTGATGTAAACAAGACGCCCGCCCTAATAGCCTTGCCTTCGTGCCACACTGAAGCTGTGTGAATGTCAATGAGTGTGACAAATAGTCACAATAAATAGTTTTGTGCAAAGACAGCTCAGACAGACTGTAAGGGTGCGATTACATTTAGGTCATCTATAAAATGACTAAAATGAAGGAATAAGACCCAAATCTAAAATGCACTGGTCAAGGGCCCCTGACCAGAGATCTTGTTATAGCTCATCAATCATTTTTCAGCCGCAAAACTCTATCTCCTCCTGTCCACCGGATGTTGCTGCGTCATGTCCCGGCTGCCAAGCCGTGGCTTTTCTCTCTGTACCACTAGCATTAAGCTATTCTTTTATAAAAGATTAACAACATTTTATATTAAATAATGCATTCAGTATTACTCAAATAGGATAGTTAACATACAGAAAACCCAAACAGTTTGTCTTGTTACTTTAGCAGAACAACAGTTTATTACTTCATGTGGTCAGTGCAACAGACTAGAGTATGGTTGTCAAAAGTATCCATACTTAGATACTTTTTCAATACCACGTGTTATTTAATATTATTAAGTGGGGTTCTCAATTTGACGGTGATCATATGAAATGGATAAAATGACAGATGTTGCCAGCAGATATGGCTGGGTTATATGCTTCACAATCATTAGCACTGATGGTGCTCAAACACAGTCAAAGTGGATGGACACGGTTTCTTTCTGTGAAGATGAAACCACATTATCATCACTGTTTTGTTACCACTGTTTACATCACCCCAGACGTAAATTCAAAAGATGCACTGCAGAATTATTTCCTGGTGTATATAAATTGGTTTTATTTTATTTATTAGGGCCCGAGCAGTGACCCCTGCAAAAAAGCCTCTTGGACATATACCCCACACCCGAAAGGAAGGCAATTTGCACACGTAGCATTTTAACAAACTCCTCCAAGGGAATTGATTGGATCAACTTCACATTTGTTCAGTCCCATCTAAATACCATATCCATGAAAAGTTATCAAAATCTGAAATTTTCGTCAAACGGCATGTCTGCGGCACCGCTGTTATTCAATAAATTGAATCTTTTATAGTGATTGTAGCATGAAGGAAGTACATACTTTCATTTCGTTATATAACCTTGTGTTATGATAAATACATTTCCTTGATATTTTAAGATATTGAAGTATTAAACTGTGTTTAACCCTTCTGCATTAAATGAGACTGAGCGCTTCCAATATGTAAAATAGAAACTATAATAATAATAATAATAATAATAATAAAATTATTGATAGACAGCTCAAGATGAACAGGAAGTTAGAGAGAGAGGGGACAACACGCATCAAAGGGCCACAGGTGGGAGTGGAACCCATGGCCGTTGCCCTAAGGACTCAGGGGCACTTGGCCCTGGTACAGCCTTGGTACATGGGGCACCAGCTCTACCAAATGAGCTATTGGGCGTCCTTAAATTTGTAAAATAAATCAATCTCTGTTTTTTTGTAAAAAAAAAAAAAAAATATAGGATGAGTAACACTGAAATACTTAAAATACAAGTAAGCAGTGATAGCCCGCCTAATGCTCGTTCACATGTTGTTCTAATATGTTCAACTTCTAACTATTTCAGATTCCTTTTTAAAAACCATTTCTTTGGAAGAAAACATCCAGTATTCTACTGAGAACACCAACAGAGGCTCTTCATCCTGTTTCTGCCACAGAATGAGAACATGCAAGTCTTAGTGTGTGTGTGTTTATGTGATACCATGCCATGGCCATGCACTAGCAAAGATATCTTCCCAACATCATATTAATCTGCACCTAAGAACCATGCTATATTTAGCACACAATCCAGGACTCTGTCCTCAGAGAGTGTGTGTGAGTCTGTACCAGTGTATGGCAGATAGCTGCTTACCAGCTGAAGCAAAGAAAATCTGAGTGGTCTTTCTGTTGACTGGTTACACTCCTATAGCCCAGTGAACACTTGCACTAATGTCAGCTCTGGACTAGTTACAAGATGCTGGTGTAGTGTCACTCACATCAAATCGGATTCATGGATGTACACTAAGCCTCAGATGTCACATGTCACGCTGTGCAAGTAGGAAATCAAACTGACTTGCTTTGACAATTTTTGGAGACATCATTCAGCAGCACAGTACACACACACACAGCTGAAGAACAAGTGAGAGGATAATCAGCTGTATAACCAGTGGATTTTCACAATCTAACTCTGTGAATTAAGAGTTTATTCCAACCAATTGATTTTTATGTAACTCACCTGTTTAAAATTATATTAAGGCTATAGTTATGAATAATTGAGGCAGCGGCCGCTTTGAGTGACAGGTGGGTGCTGTCAGAGGCGGCGGCGGTTTTCAGTAACCAGCCAGCCTGCTCCAGCTCATTGCCCCTCATTCAGAAGGTGTACGGTTGCACTATTCTGTTAAATGGGTATAAGGGTATTTCCTTCTTGACATTTGTCAGTTTGTTTTGTTTATTAAAACTAAGAGAGCTTGTGGCAAGAAGGAAACTCACTGCTCATCTCCCATCTATAACTACTAGGGATGTCCGATAATATCGCGCCTGCATTAAGACGTTGTCTATAAACTCGGTAGGAGGCGTATGCGCTAGGTATGTAGTGTGATTGTTGTTACTTCGCAGTTATCCCAGGATGTTCCAGACGAGTGTGTTCAAACTCAGAGAAAATCTGGTCATGTTTATGTCAGGTAACGCTGCGTTTCCACCCGGTCGGCCTGTCTCGTATGGTGTTTCATATCCCCTTGTGCCTGCGTCGGTCTTTTTGTCTCGCCAGGAAGCTGTCATACATTGACTGTTTATCCGAGTGTTGAAGGGACATTTTTTCTCTTTTAGATCTTGGTGCTTGTTTAAACTCTAGATTTGAATCTTATATTGAAGGTGTGTGTGATGCGAGACGTCTGGATCTTAAGTTATCAGAGAAACAAGCTGATGCTAGACGTTAGCAGCAGGCTCGGCTCGCAGCCCCTCCAGGACGTCCTTTGTCTGCCCAACAGCGTGGGAGAAGCAGTGATTTTAAGAGGTGGAATGCTTTATTCAGTGTTGTTCGTAGCGGTTTTAATCAGCAGGTCCGGTTGTGTTTTTGGGAGAGGATGAGAAGGC